CCAGTCCCAGCCCCTCCGCCCAGAGCTCTGGCACCAGGGCCTCTGATAGTCACGGTGCACCCGCAGCCACGCTCACCCACACTGAGCCCTGTTTCTCCCCCGTTTGCCCCCTCTCTCCCCAGACCTAGCCCAGACCCCCTCCATGTGACCCTGACACCAAAGAAAGCTGAAAGACCGGCATTGGCAGCACCGTCATCCTCTCCTGCGCGCCGATGAGCTCCCCCGAGTACACCATCCGCTGGTACCGCAACACCGAGCCGGTGCTGCCCGACGAGGCCATCTCCATCCGCGGGCTCAGCAACGAGACGCTGCTCATCGCCTCGGCCCAGAAGAGCCACTCGGGGGCCTACCAGTGCTTCGCCACCCGCAAGGCCCAGACCGCCCAGGACTTCGCCGTCGTGGTGCTGGAGGGTGAGCCGGGCAGCCCGTTCGGAGGGTGGTTTCGGGACTCCCAAAGCCCTGCCGGAGGTGCCCGGGCCCAGGCGCCCTGCCTGCCCGGATGGGAGGCGTGTACCGGCTCTTCCTGCGCCCCAGGCAGATGCCTGTCTGAGTTCACCCTCCCAGGGGCGCGGGGTGAGGGGGGGGAGATACTTTCCTAATGGTGTGGTCTTGCAGTTGAGGAAATTGAGGTTTTCGGTCACTTGCCCAAGGTGAAGTGCCGTCAGCTTAGGCAGGGGCGTGGATGGCGAGGCTGGTGGGAAGGGCAGGGAGTAGAGCGGAGGGACACCCGGAAGTGAGGGCAGAGGAGAGCAGGCAGTGACCCAGCGGGCACCCGGGCTCCGCCAGGCACCGGCTCTCCCCACGTTTGAGATAAAGGCCCCCAGAAATGGGCAGGGGCTGAGACTGGCAGAATGTGGGGTTAGCATCAGCGTGTTGCTGTGACATGTGGGTGGGTGTGGAGTGCATGTGACATTTGCCTCGCTTTCTTCTTATGTTTGTTTGGGGTTTTTAATGCCTGTTTTACCCTTTACACCAACCCTTATGGCAGGAGGCCAGGCTCCTCCTCTCCCGGGTGGGGAACAAGGGCAGTGTCCCTGCAGGCAGCTGGGCGCCACTACCTCCTGGGCCAGCCTGGGGGTCGGCCCAGACCAGGCCCAGCCGCAGACCCCGCAGCACGGCCTCTGGGCAGCTTGCACTTTAAGCCTCAAACTGCAGGCTGTTTGTTCCGGAGCACCATCACGCCCCACCCCTCACCCCCTACCCGCTTCTGCCAGAATGAGAAATGGAACCCCACTCCACAGGTCCGGCTGGGTCAGGTCCCGGTTCCACACACAGTTAACCTCTGTGCCTCTGTCTTTATTAATAGTGGGAGGAGGGAGCGTGGAAAGGGAACAGCTGAGAGAGTCATGTCTTAGGAAGCACTTGCAAAGTCCTGTCCTAAGCATCCTTCATGCATTAGTTCATTTAATCCTCGCAGCATCCGGATAGGAATTCATACTCAGATCCCCATTATCACCATCCTCTATGGAGACGAGCCGGAAAGACTCAGAGAGGTTCAGTAACTTGCCCACAGACACAGAGCTAAAGCGACTGAGGGTGGCACCTGACGGGGATTTATGATAACGCGCAAACCGACGTGCCTGAGAGTCCCTTATATTGTCATGGCCACTGCTTCCCCTCCTCCCGGGGGGCGGGGGGTGGCTGGTGGGGTGGCTGCTCAGCGGCTCGGTGACCTGAGGAGGCTCCTCACTCCTGCAGACGGCACGCCCCGCATCGTCTCCTCCTTCAGCGAGAAGGTGGTCAACCCCGGGGAGCAGTTCTCGCTGATGTGCGCAGCCAAGGGGGCCCCGCCCCCCACAGTCACCTGGGCCCTGGACGAGGAGCCCATCGTGCGGGACGGCAGCCACCGCACCAACCAGTACACCATGTCCGACGGCACCACCATCAGCCACATGAACGTCACGGGCCCCCAGATCCGGGACGGGGGCGTGTACCGGTGCACCGCGAGGAACTCGGTGGGCAGTGCCGAATACCAGGCTCGAATAAACGTAAGAGGTGCCTGTCTACATTTAAATATCAGAATAGGCTGAGTTCCTTTGCCATCTCTGTGGTCCTCATCATTCTTGTGGTGACTGGTACTTGTGATTAGTTGTCATTCTGATTTTAGTAGGAGGTGTCTTTCCTCTTTCTCCCCCTTCCCCCTGCCCTCCACAGTCCCATCGTCCATCCGTGTGTGTGTGTGTGTGTGTGTGTGTCTGTGTGTGTCTGTGTGTGTGTCTGTGTGTGTGTATGTCTGTGTGAGTCTGTGTGTGTGTGTGTCTGGCACAGTTCACTGCCTTGGCATCCTCACCCACTCCACTCCTCTTCCCTTCTCCTCTCCTGCAACCAGCCCTGAGCCCGTCCCCATCCCCCCATTCAATCTCTCTGGCCCCAGGTATATAAGCGCCCAGCCAGCATCCACCAGCCCACCGGGGCCTTGCCAGGACAGGCCAGGGAAGGAGCAGAGGGGCCAGGCTTGACCTTTGACAGGGGTATCCACCAAAGCTGTGTTCCCAGTGCACCCTCATGGAGCCGTCCCCCAAATGCTCCAGGAGGTGTGAGCAGCAAGAGCCGGAGCATCCTCTCTTCCCAATCCTGTCTGCCTCCTCACTACCCCCCAAGGCTCTAGCCATCAAAAGTAGGAGGCTCTGGCTGGGCGGGGTCACCCCACGACAGGCAACTCCAAGGGGCGGAGTCCTCAGGTTCTCCAAGTCTCAGTTCTCCAAGTCACTGCGATGAGAAATCTCCTCTGGAGCCCTTTGCAGCCTGTGAGGTCAGATTGGCCCTCATCTGACCCTACCAGTGACCTCTGACCCAAGCACAGAGGAGGCCCAAGGGAAGAGGGGGGCTCTGGACCAGGGGTGCTGGTGGCTGCTGTGGGGAGAGGAGGGGCGGGAGGATCATGCTAAGTCACCTGTGCCAAGCAGGTCTCCAACCCCACGTGAAGGACATGCCCTCCATTTGGCCGCCCTGCCCTTCCCTCTGAATCTGCAAAGGACGGAGCCACAGGTCCTGGGAGGGCCCCGGGGGCAGCTCCTCGCCTCCTGGGTGGGGAGCCTGAGCCTGGAGCCTCTTGTGCCCGTCCACATGCCCTGCACGGTGCCTCTGAGCCCCTCGCACCCCCACAGGACCATCTGCCCCGCTGACCAGTGCCGACACTCCCTCCCCGTGTGACCAGTGCACCCCCACAGGGCTGTCACGTGACCAAGCACATTTACCTGTGGAAAGAAAAAGATCAGTTCATCCAATGAAGACCTCCCTGCTGCCCTTTAGCTAGTATTATGGCAAATTGAATGAAAATGAACATGTCCACATTTCCATTTTAACCCCAAATCTTCATCACCTCGGAAATGAGGACTCGCCCCCAAGCCTGCCCTTCTCGGAGAGGCTCAGCGCCCTCCTGTGCCCTCCCTCGGGGATGGGCTCGTGCCCTGGGCAGGAACGGACACCTGTCTGTTTGCAACTATTTGAAGCCAGTAACCGAGTCCTGGAGAGACGGTGGGGCCCCCAGTCCCAGGCTCTGCCTCCAGATGAAGGCCACCCTCCCCTCCCCACCAGCAGTTTCCGCCCCCTGGTGGTCTCAGAGCCCAGCACTGAGGACAGCACCCAGGCAGCGGCTGCCCCTGCCTGACCACCGCCCGCCCCTCCTCTCCTCCCTCCTGACCCCGCCAGGGCCCCCCAGCATCCGGGCGATGAGGAACATCACGGCCGTCGCCGGGCGGGACACCCTCATCAACTGCAGGGTCATCGGCTACCCCTACTACTCTATCAAGTGGTACAAGGACGCGCTGCTGCTGCCGGACAACCACCGCCAGGTGGTGTTCGAGAACGGCACGCTCAAGCTGACGGACGTGCAGAAGGGCATGGACGAGGGCGAGTACCTGTGCAGCGTCCTCATCCAGCCGCAGCTCTCCATCAGCCAGAGCGTCCACGTGGCCGTCAAAGGTAGGCCCGCCGCCCAGCCGTACGGCCGGCCCCGGGGGCCGTGACCTCTGCATCCGAGCGGGTGGGACACCACGGGGACAGGGCTCCCCAGGGAGTCTGAGGGGCAGGGCAGGGTGGGCGCCTGCGGGGACACAAGGCCACGGGGACCTCTGCATTCAGGTTTGCTCCATGGGCTGCAGGGCAAGACAGAACTGACCCCAGAGGAGCCAGGGAGAGAGGCCAGGACAGAGATGGCAGGCTCTGTAGGTCCCCGGACGTCAGCATGGAAGGCAGGGCCCACCAGAGGCCAGCAGGAGGCGGCGAGGGGCGGGGGGCAGGAGCCAGGAGCGTGCAGGCAGCAGGAGGCGGGGTGCAGGGAGCAGGTGCTGGGTCCCAGGCTCCCTTCTGGGGTACAGACTGGCTGGCTCTGGACCTGCTGATGCTGCTTAAGGCCTAGGAAGCACCTCCTGGAGCTCAGACCCCGGCCTGGTACCTGGGAGCCGCTGAGTAACTGTCCGTGGGTGGAATGAATGAGTGAGTGAATACCAATGCGCGAGTAAATGGCTGCATGAAGAAACGAGGGATGCTCCTGGTTCTGGGCTGTGCCTGTGCGTGAAGCTCCCTCCCACATCCACTCCTGGAAGCCGCAGGCCTGGGGACTGTATGGGCCGGTGGCCTGGCTGCTCGGGGGCAGGATGGGGAGGTGGGACCCGCCAGGCGTGGCTGGGAAGAGGTCAGGGAAAGCCAGGCAGCCTCTACTTAACCCAGAAGGACCGAGGGCTGGGGCAGGGCAGGCCGGGAGGAGGAAAGCTCCCGGGACAACCTGCGGAGGCAGGAGGAGAGACAGGGCCCTGGGGAACACCTGGTCATCGGCGTTGCCCCGGCGGCGGGGACACATACTCCAGAAGAAAGCTGGCCTGGGCCCTGGGGGAAGGTCACTGGCACAGGGGACCCCAGAGGGTCCCAAGCTCCTGACGCAGGTGGAATGAAGGCCTGTGACAGGAAGAGGGAGGTCTGGGAGAAGGACGAGTGGGGAGGTGGACGCTGCCTTTGGTTTGGCCCCGAGCCCGCAGTGGGCGAGCAGGTGCATGCATCTGGGGGCGGCAGGCGGCGCTGAACGTGGGCGGAAGGCGGGGTCAGTGCTTCTCTCCTGGGCTCCTTGTCACCAGTCGCCCTCGTTAGCACACGGGAGCTTGTCACATGCCTCCTTGTGCACCCGCCCCTGTCACAGCGCTAGACGGTGTGTGTTTCTTGAGCTGAAGCTAGACTGCCGTCTGGCTTAGAGTGACTTACACGGGTGACAGGGGAGGCCTCCCTGGGTGTCCTGTGGCTCCCTCAGGCCCGGGGGCCCATATGGCGTCTGCCTTCCTGCTTCCCAGCCAGGCTGAGGGCCACCGTGGCCACCTTCTCGGCCTGAGGCCTCTGCCCAGCCCAGGGACCTGGTGCTGGCAGGAACCTCCGACCCCCAGGCCACAGCCCCGTTTGGTGGCCCCTCCCGGTATCACGGGCCTCCTGGATCCATTCCCATTACAAGCAGGAGACCGAGAGTTCCCGGTGTAAACATCACATATTAGAACATCTAACCTCCGCTCCCTTAGACCACCCGCACCAGGAGCACGTGGCCTGGTTTGTTGGCTTAAAAAAACAACAACAACAAAAAAAAGAACAGGCCTCCAGCGAGCGCAGAGCACTCGGAACATTCTGAAAGCTGCTGCTCATCAATTATTCATCCCCACTCAGGGAGCGATCAGTCCTAATGAATTGAATCTGATGCCTTCCATCTGAGCGACTCGCTGGGCCTGTTGAGATAGTGGGGTGCTGAGTGACAGTGTCTCCCAGCCCGGGAGGGTGCGTGCGTGTGCGTGTGTGTGCGTGTGTGTGTGCAAGTGTGTGCGCGTGTGTGTGGTGTGTGTGTTCCTAGAGGCAGAGCCCGCGCACCAGCACCCAGGCTGCGTGACTTTCCTGCGGCAGGGATGTGGCGGGCATACCAGGGCCTGTGCCCACACTCCCACATCCCACCCTGGCGGGCATACCAGGGCCTGTGCCCACACTCCCACATCCCACCCTCCACGGCTGAAAACAGCCCCAGCAGGGTTTTCACCTGTTTCCTCTCCAGACCAACAAGCAGCACAGTGTGAGGAGCTCTGAGGACCTATGCCCCTGCCACTCCCAAAGCTCGGGCCCCTCCGCGCCCCCCTCTCCCCTGCCCCCCTCCCCACCTCATTAGAATGCACTTTTGCAAAGAAACTGTCAGGACTGATTAGGAGGCGCTCCTGATTAGCTGATGTGCTGCTCCCCAAGCTCCTCAGAGAGGAGGCAGAGGAGGTGCGGGTGTGGAGAGGGGCACTGGCTGCGGTAGAAAGGGACAGGCCAGGGCAGCCAGACCCCACCCCTACTGCCTGGCTGGGACATGCGCCCCTCCCCCAGGACCAGAGCCGAAACCCCGAGTGTGGGAAGGGCCAGGTGCAGGCGGGCAGGGTGCTAGAAGCTCCAGACCAGCTGGAAGCCCCGCATCTCTCTGGGGGGTGGAGGGAGGGGGTCAGGGCTGTGCACAGGGCAGGGCAAAGCCCATGCTGCTCCAGGATTTGGAAAAACGAGTGCTGACTCCATTTCTTCTGGGACTGCTTGTCTTCTGATGAATTTTGAAACACTGAGCCAAGAGCAGAGCACACAAGATTTGCATGCACATGCATGCACACACGTGTGCAGAGACCTGTGTGCATGAAAGCAATACACGTACACATTGGCACACACCATATGCAGGTACATGCAACCTGTCTGCACCTGCACATACATGTCCATCGTACGTGCTGGCAGTTACATGTACACAAACGTTTCCTCTGTCCATGGCCTCCTGTGAGGCAAATTCCTGAGCCACAAACGGCAGCTGCAGGTGATGCCATATGAGATATTGCCCGGGTGAGGCAGCTGTGGCCCAGCCAGGTGGAGGGGTTGAGGGGAGAGAAGGCGAGGATGCTTTGAGGGCCTCCCGGACTGTGGTACGTAGGGCAGTGACTGGCAGAGGCGAGCCAGGCTGCAGAGAGGCGAGTGTTTGTGTCTGGGCATCCAAAGAGATCCTTGGCAGGATGCTAAGAGGAGGGCACATGGATCCAACCTGGATTTGGTGTCTTTAGGGCGCCCTGTAGCTGAAAAATGATGTAGCATAAAAGCCTCTCCGGGCACACGGGCCGGATGTTCATTCACTCAGGCGGCAGGGCCGCCACCGGGGTGCCTCGTCTCCATCCCCACAGCTGGGCCTCTCGGGGCCGCTGGAGCCAAAGCAAGAGCATGAGAGACTTTCTGCCCAGCTCACGAGGCCAGACCAGGGGAGGGTACCAAGTCCTGTGGAGAGCAAACGGGAGAGAGACACACTGACATTCACACACGTACTCACCCTCATTCACGATGCCCGCGCTCCCCACCCCCATGCAGCCTTCCCTCGCTGCTCAGCTCAGCCCCTGCCCCGGCTCCTCAGGTGGGACCTGCGGAGGAGGCCTCTTCCACCCTAGTGAGCGGCTGCTGTGACCAGGCTTCAGAGCGAGCCCCCACCTGGCCACAGGCCTGATCCTGGCAGAGGCATTGTTTGGAGGGACCCACCAGAATCCACAGGAGGGGGCACAGTGGTTTCACCGAGGCCGGTTGCCCAGGTGTGCTGGGGCGGGGGCACCAAGGCAGCTGCTGCCAGCAGCCCTGCTCCTCGGCGGCGGGGCCAGGCACGCCGATGGGCAGCATCGTCCTAGTGGCCAGACAGGCTCAGATGCCAACGGTGCCATTCCCTCAGCGTCGCTGGCCATGCCCTGCTCCGGGCACTCGGGCCTGTGCTGTGCGCAGGCACACAAGCCCTGCCCTCAGGAAGCCCCTCTGGGTGGAATGACAGGAAAACGGAGCGGGAGGGAGAGTGCGGAGGGTGGAGTGAGCGGTGTGCAATCTTACACGGGCGGCAGGGGAGGCCTCCCTGAGAAGTTATTTCTCCTAAAACACTAGACTTGCTACGACTGCAAAACCAGCCTTGGGGCTTCAGAAATGACTTGGCCCCACCCCCACTTTGCAGATGGGGGCGCTGAGGCTCGGGGGAGAGCAGGGTGGTGAGGGGGCGACCTGCCCAGGTCACGGTGTGGAGCACAGTCTGGCCTGGCTCCCAGGCGAGGTCTTGCCCCATGTCCCTGCTGCAGGAAGGACATCCTCTGCCAAAGGCTCCGTCTCAGAGGGATGAAGACACAGAGTGTCCACAGGCCGGGCTGGCGGTCACCTGCCCCCTCTGCCGCGCTCCCAGGCAGGGCTGTGAGTCTTGCAGTGGCCTCGCAGCCGCCTCACTGTGCCAGCACCTGTCCTGGCCCTGCCTCCCTCAACGCTGACCGAGTTGCCCTCTTGCCCAGAGACTGTAGCCAGAGCAGGGCTTCCGGAGAGAAGTCCCTGGTGACGTGGCCCCCGTGGCCCCCATTCGGGCTGCGGTCGGCCCTGCAGACCCCCGGCCATCACCACGGAGGAGTCAGGGCCCTGGCTGCTGGGGACGCTCTCCCAGGGGGAAATGGACACGTTCAACCAGCCGTGTCCCCACTGAGCGCTGGGGAAGGCGCTGCCGACTCAGATGAGAAAGCAGCCCACCCAGGCAGCTGCCCGCAGGCACGGCCCAGAGCCCCACCCCTGCTCCTCGGTCCCCCCACTCCCCGCGCTCCCCTAGTATTCAGCGAACAGCGAGGAGCCAGGACCCTCTGTGTTCTGCCCCCTCGGGCAGGGTGCCCCCACCTGCAGGCTCTCCGAGGCCATCCCCGAGCCAAAGATTCTGTGCGGAGCTCTGCTCACGTTCCTCCCAAAGGGGACCCTGACCCCCCACAGCCTCACTCCCCACCAGCCCACAGCAGGGAGTGGGGCAGAAGCCTGCCTGGGTCTCGGCGTTGTCTGGCCACCTGCCCCCACAGGTCAGCGGAGGCTCTAGCCAGCCCCGGGGAACGTCTGACTCCCCAGGGGTGTTGGCAACCCTCCCTCGGTGGTCTGTCCAGGAGCCGCAGTGTTCCACTTGGTAACCCATTGGCCTCTGCCTCTTAGCGGTGTCTCTCTCTCTCACACACACGCACATACACACACACACACACACACACACACACTCACACTTTAAAGCGTGTGTGTGCTCCCTCACAGTCCCCACGCCGCCTCCCCCATGAAGCTGCAGCCGCCCAACTAGAGGGCACTCTGCTCTGAGTCCAGCGCCCCCACGTGCGGACGGTGCTTGTCCAACACTCACGGCGGCGGCTCCCGGAGCCTCTGTCTGTGTTGTGAGCATGTGCCTGCCTCCCGCGCCCACACAGAGCGCAGCCCACGCAGAGCAGGCGCTTCATCAATATTAGATGACTCAGTTAATTAGTGAATTAACCTGCCTTGGAAACTTGTTCCGTTATCTAAATCCCTTCTTACTGAGAGAGACCGTTTCCTCTTGCCTGAGCTCAAGCTTCCTGCCTAATTCCCATCCATCGTCTCCATCTGCCCTGTGCTCCACGGAAATGTTCGCGGGACCACCCTTCCCTGGAGCACAGCCCTGCAGGCTCGGCACCTCCCGGGCAGCAGCCCCCGCCTGTGCCCTCCCCGCCCCCCCGCCCCTGCCCCGCAGCCCCTGCCCGATGCCCTCTCCGCCCCCCACCCCTGCCCCGAAGCCCTCGCTGCTGCAGCTCCCTGTCCAGAGGCTCTTCACCCACAGGAGCCGGCTCTAGAGGGGCCACGGGAGGAGCTCCCCAACCCTAGCAAAACCAGCCCCTTAAGGAGCAGCACAGAGCCCCCTCCTTTTCTGGATGAACCCACCCTGTGCTCTCACCACCCCTTGCCCACCTCACAGGCAACCATTTAGGAACAGCCCAGGGCATGACCTACAGACATTCTTTCATTCACTGTTCTCACCTGCCAAACATGAGTTGGACTCATACTTTGCCCTAATTACTGCCCTGGCAGAACCCCCAGACGCCCAGGGAAGGGGTCATGCAAAGGCTGCCCCAATGCCCCATGATCGAGGTGCGGACCAGGGCTGCAGGGCTGTGCGGGACCAGGCTTCCCAGGAGAGGTGGCAGGTCTGGGAGGATGAGGGCGGGTTTCCCCGGGGGCCTGCCGGGCTCCAGCTGACGCCTTGGTGGGAAGGACTGGACTGCTGGGCTCAGGAAATAAACTGGGCGGCAGATCTGGGCTCTGCCATGATTCCACCACAAAGCCCAAGGAGGCCAGGGGCCTACATCTCATCTAGGCACCAAAACAAAACAAAACAAAAACAAAAACCAAAGAACAGAGGGTGGGGTGGCTCCGCAGAGCCCCACAGAGGAACCTTTGGGCGTCTGAGCAAGGGGCACTTGGCCATTACTAGAGTCGGGGTTCCAGAAAAATCCGTCTGGATATCCAAGACCCAGCAAACCACCCAGAATACTGGGGAGGCTCCCACCCGAAGAGCAGAGGCAGCCATAGCCGGGGGTGGAGAGGTCCAGGAAATGGCCAGTCCCAGAACACCTGACGGACGTAGGGCCTGGACTTGGGTGGGTCAGGAATGAGATGGGTCAGCAGCCACTGGGCTGGCACACATGGTGGGAGGTGAAGAGGACAAATGCCAGCTGTGTTCGCCCAGGCGCCCCCGGCACGGGCTGCGGCGTGGGGCTGTGGGCGCTGGTGACGGAGTGAAGGGTGAGGTGGAGATGACATTGGGAAGGTGGGTAAGGGCCCTGCTGAGGGGTATGGCTCTTGCCCGATAGGTCATGCAGACAACATCCCTCCTAAATGTCACCTCTCTGGACCTAGAGCTCCTGACCAAGACCTTTCCCAGCATCCACAGGGCTGCCAAGGTGTGACCACGTCCACCTGGCCACTTCCCGGGGAGCGGGAGCGGCTGAGGCATGCACAGGAAGCCACTCGTTCCCGCTCGGGTGGGCCTGGGGCAGAGGGCAGGCTCCCCGCAGGGTGGAGCGGTCCTGGGAGAACCAGCTGTAATCCTGGGGCCGCAGAAAGGTCTCCTCCTCTCCCTTCTGCCCCCACTTGCCGGGGAAGTTGCTGTGGCCTCATTGAGTTGTCATAGAGATAATGGCCGATGCTCCAGCCAGAGCTGAAAAAGGAGGATCCCCCCACCGCAGCTCAGGCTCCAGACAGGCCCGTGCGGGGGTGGGGAGGAGCCCGAGGGGGAGGCAGGGGAGGCAGGGGAGGCGTGCGCCTGGCTGGGCTGGGACAGGGGGCTGACAGCAGCGTCCCCTTCCCTCCCAGTGCCCCCTCTGATCCAGCCCTTCGAGTTCCCACCTGCCTCCATCGGCCAGCTGCTCTACATCCCCTGTGTGGTGTCCTCGGGGGACATGCCCATCCGCATCACCTGGAGGAAGGACGGGCAGGTGATCATCTCGGGCTCCGGCGTGACCATCGAGAGCAAGGAGTTCATGAGCTCCCTGCAGATCTCCAGCGTCTCCCTGAAGCACAACGGCAACTACACATGCATCGCCAGCAACGCGGCAGCCACCGTGAGCCGGGAGCGCCAGCTCGTCGTGCGCGGTGCGTGGGGACAGGCCGGTGGGGTGAGGCGGGGAGTCCAGCTCTGTCTGCTGCTCGAAGTCTCTCGGTCCAGGTTTAAATCCCAGGCTTAGGGAAGATTGGCTCTGGCAGATGCCTTAAAGATCAAGAGGTTCAAACCTCTTACTTTCCAGGCCAGGACACCGAGGCCTGGTGAGGGGAAGACGCTTGCTCAGTTAGCCACTGGCAAAGTCAGAACTGGAGCTCAGAGCTCCCAGCTCCCAACCGGCACCCAGCAGGAGCTCTCGGGAGCTCCAGTTTAGAACAGTCCAGGCAGGACTGACATTGAATGGCAGGTGCCTGGCCCAGGAGACCTATCAGAGACTGAGGTGATCGGTTTCTCCCGCCTTCCCTCTTTCTGCAGTGCCCCCTCGGTTCGTGGTGCAGCCCAACAACCAGGACGGCATCTATGGCAAAGCTGGTGTGCTCAACTGCTCGGTGGATGGCTACCCCCCACCCAAGGTCATGTGGAAGCACGCCAAGGGTAAGCCCCTGGCCAACCAGCGACTCTGAGTAGCCAGGGAGAGGGAGGGAGGACGCTGGGGAGACTCAGGCCTGGTTCCCACGCATCCCTAGGCCGGGGTGGGAGCCCTGGGCTCTGAGCCCCATGGGGACCCCAGGCTACACCCAGCCTGGAGGACATCCAGGGGTCTGTGGGCTGGCAACAGCTATCATGCTGACTCCAAATGTCCTTTTGTCCCCTCCAGCCCTAGAACTCAGGGCACTCTGTGCTCCCCACTTCCACATGCCCCCACCCTCTGCTCTGGGGTCCCCAAGCCTCATCAGCCCCTGCTCCTCACCAGTTATTCTGGGATCTGGGATCTTGGAGCCCAACTTCACGCCAAGGATGCATTTCGTATCTGACTAAGCCCCACGCCAACCTCTTACCTAGACCATGTCTAGGGCTGACCCTGGGAGGGGGTGGCGCCCAAAGCCCCCCTTGGAGGATGGTGGGCCTCCTTCCCGGGCATGGCTGCCCAGGACCAGGAAACTGCCATCTGAGGGCTCAGTCTTCCCTTTGCCTGTTGCCAAGTGGCCTGAAGACAACTCTTTCTTCCTCTCTGAGGAATTCACCCCACACAAGCTCAGTGCCACCTGGGCATGCCAACTCCACCTCCTCACTCCGAGCCGGCAGGCCCAGCTCCGTGAGGGTCCCTCCTGCGGCCCAGGAAACAGGAGCAGTGTGGGCATGCCACACAATGGCCTTGGATTTTCAGGAGAAAGGCAGTGGGCACTCCCTGGGACACTCCCATCCACCCAGCTCACCCCCAGCCCAGACAGCAGCTCTTCTGACCTCTGCCTCCTTCCAGGGAGCGGGAGCCCCCAGCAGTACCACCCGGTGCCCCTCACCGGCCGCATCCAGGTCCTGGCCAACAGCTCGCTGCTGATCCGCCACGTCCTGGAGGAGGACATGGGCTACTACCTCTGCCAGGCCAGCAACGGCGTGGGCACCGACATCAGCAAGTCCATGTTCCTCACCGTCAAGAGTGAGTCCTGCCCCCGGGCCCTCCTGGCACCCTGGACACGGCCAGGGCCCATCTCTGCACCCACCTGCCCCCTCGTGGTTTCCATTGGTCCGTGTGTGAAGGGGAGGCCAGAGGATTCCTAGTCGGGCCTGGGCTGGGACACTTGGATGGGGATTCAAAAGCACTGTCATGCCCTAGCCGCTTTGCGTGGATAGAGCATCGGCCTGCAGACAGAAGGGTCCCGGGTTTGATTCCGGTCAAGGGCACACACCTCAGTTGCAGGTTCCTCCCCAGCCCAGGCCCTGGTCAGGGGCAACCAATTGGTGTGTTTCTTTCACATCGATGTTTCTCTCTGTCTTGACATCTCTCTTCCACTCTCTCTAAAAATCAAGGTGGGGGGGGGAGCATTGAAAGCAGGAGCCTGACCCCGGAAGGCCCCGCTCACCATGGGCTAGTCCCGATACGCTCCTGAGGTGCTCATGGGACATGGGATTTCTCGTTGACCTTGATCTTCAGGTTGGCAATTCTATCTGAATAGTCACATTGAGCACTTCATTTTTGTTACGTGACTTACACCTGCTTGAGTGTGACCTGTGACTTAGGAAGGAGGACACCGTATGTACAAGGTAGGAAAAACCTGGGTCCTGACTTCAGATCCAGGCCCTGAAGTGCCCTCCCTGTGTGAAAGGTTCATCAGGCCCCCAACCCATAACATCGGGGTGAACAGCATGGGAACTGAGGGCAGAAACGGGGACGTGCGCCAGAAAAGCTGGAAGCATTAAAACACGTTACAACTTGGTGCTGCGTCCGTAGCTTCAAGGAACCAAGGACAGAGCCCATCTTGCCGGCTGTGGCACCCCAGTATATGACTGTACCTGTTGTCACAGACACACATTCCTACTGTGTGATCTACCTCTGCACACTCCCACGGGTCTGCATATGGGCCTCAGGAATCCTGCCATAAGAAGCAGGAATCCTGCCATAAGGACCAGGAATCCTGCCGTAAGGACCAGGAATCCTGCCATAAGGACCAGGAATCCTGCCATAAAGAACAGGAATCCTGCCATAAGGACCGGGAATCCTGCCATAAGGACCAGGAATCCTGCCATAAGGACCCAAGAATCCTGCCATAAGGACCAGGAATCCTGCCATAAGGACCCAGGAATCCTGCCATAAGGACCAGGGAATCCTGCTATAAGGACCAAGAATCCTGCCATAAGGACCAGGGAATCCTGCCATAAGGACCAAGAATCCTGCCATAAGGACCAGGGAATCCTGCCATAAGGACCAAGAATCCTTCCATAAGGACCAGGGAATCCTGCCATAAGGACCAAGAATCCTTCCATAAGGACCAGGGAATCCTGCCATAAGGACCCGGGAATCCTGCCATAAGGACCAGGAATCCTGCCATAAGGACCCGGGAATCCTGCCATAAGGACCAGGAATCCTGCCATAAGGACCG